GTATAGTTGTGTACTAGGGACAGATTTTAAAAGTAGGAATCAGAAAAGAAAAACAGATAAATGATAGTGAATAATTAGGCACGTAGATCGATATTAAACCAGTGGAAGTAAGTAGAGAAGAATGTGGATGAGAGAGATAGAGCGAGGGAAGAAAAGTTTTAAAGGGAGCCGGTAGAGCTTAAAAGGAGAATGGGAAGAAGGAAGAAATGGGGGAGGGAGCAAAGCAGGTCTGAGGGAGGAAGTGAAGAAAAAATTAAGGTGGGAAGGAAGGAAAAAGGGAGGGAGGGCAGGGGTAAAGATAAAGGAAAGAAGGAATGTGGGGAGGGAGGGAGGGAGGGTAGGAGAAAGATGGGAAGAAGGATGATGGAACAGAAGTAGGAAGGAGGAAAGAAAAGTTTATAAATGATGAGTCAGTAGGAAAAAGTGTTACATAAAGGAGAGAGAAAAATTGTGTGACAGGGAGAAGCCAATAAGGAAATCAAATACAATTGTGTGTGAAGGGGATAAGATTAAAGAAAAAAAGTTAATAGGGGTGACCAGGCCGGCAGGGGAGGGCAGTTAGGGGTGACCAGGCTGGCGCAGGGATCGGGCCTAAGCTGGCAATTGGACATCCCCCGAGGCTCCCAAATTGGAGAGGGTGCAGGTCTGGCTGAGGGGGACCGGCCCCCCCCCCCCCCCGGGCATGAATTTCGTGCACTGGGCCTCTAGTAATTATTATAATTATTATAAGTCTGTTTCCTTCAAAAACCTATACATTTACTGAAGGAATATTTGGCTTCCATTTATTTTTGGTGAGTACTACAGAGTATATGTATTGTAAGTGTTCATTGAAAATTCACTGAAATCATAGTAAACTGCAAATAAATGAACTTTCCCCTCAATGGAACTGGTTCAGCTATCTTGACTATTTTTGTAAATCTATAATGATTTTTTTCTGTTTAATATTCAACTAAATTTGTTAATATAGCAAATTTAAAATATTATGAATATAAAATTTGAGGATAAGTTTGACAAAACACCTTTGCCATTTGATTCTTAGAAAAAGTTAACAGCCATTTAAATTTTATATAAATTCTAAAAAAAATCTAGTCAGTAGTCAGTATTGTCTAAAACAACAGATTTATAATAGTTGGCTCTGACAAATCATGACTGGCCTATACTAAATTCTAATTAGTATCTACATAACTATGTTACTTTAAAGGTAATATTTAAATAGGAGACAAGAAGTAAATGAATTGCTGAAATCAGTATTACAACACCACAGACATAAAATCTATATGTTGATACTATGGTGGAAAATGAAAAGATTAATCTGCAGTTCCAGGCTGGGTTTTGTATGCAGGTTTTGAACAGCATCTCAACCCGTGATCCTGTGCATAACTCACATTAGCTGAGTGAGGAACAATCCAGCAGAATATATATAGCTCTCCTAACACTGTTCCCTGTCATCTTGTTTTAAAGTATGGGAAACAGCCATCATAAGAGTCATAGTACATTGTTCCTCAAGTTTTCTTGCTTTCTAACATGACTTACAATTTCTGAATAGGCCAGTCATGATTTATCAGAGCCAACTATTATAAATCTGTTGTTTTAGACCAGTGGTCGGCAAACCTCGGCTCGCAAGCCACTTGCGGCTCTTTGGCCCCTTGAGTGTGGCTTTTCCACAAAATACCACGTGCAGGCGCGCACGTACAGTGCAATTGAAACTTCGTGGTCCATGCGCAGAAGTCGGTTTTCGGCCTGGGCGAGTCTATTTTGAAGAAGTGGCGTTAGAAGAAGTGGGGGGTGTGGTCGGTCGGGCGACAGGAGGCGCAGCGCAGGTGGGCCACGGGATACACAGCGCGGGGGAGGTACATTGTTTTGAGGTACGTTCGCTGAAGGTCGACCCCTTTCAACTCTCCCATCCACACTGGTCTATCTGAAACAAGTATACAAGACGAGTGTGGATGGGAGAGTTGGAAGGGGTCGACCTCAGCGAACGTACCTCAATCAGATTGAGGACGTTTTTAGCAAAGGCCAGCTTAGGAGTACCCTAATTAAGTTAATAATAATGTACCTACCTATATAGTTTAAGTTTTAAAAATTTGTCTCTCAAAAGAAATTTTAATCGTTGTACTGTTGATATTTAGCTCTGTTGACTAATGAGTTTGCCGACCACTGTTTTAGACAATATTGACTACTGACTCGATTTTTTTGCAACATGTGACTCTTTAGTAGGAAAATCTATTTAAATCTTAGCATGCTTTGGTTTGATCTAAACTAAATAATCTCTTTAAGATTTTAGATATGCTGTGTGTATTAACTGACAATTGATAGACAATTGAGAAGTTAAATACAATATGAAAAAATTATGAATGTAAGTCACATTAATACAAATGATAATGCCAAAATTTACCACCACAAGTTCTTATAAAAATATATTTGGCATAAACCATATTGCTAAATTCAAGGGTATTTGCTGCCCATCACAAACTCCTCACAAAGTTCCTTTATTCCTCTGTGACTTGAAGTCTTTCAGGGGAAAAAAAGGATACATAGAAAAGAATGTAGAGGTATTGGAACATACAGAAACAAAGTGGAAGATAAGAGAAGGCAAAAAACTATTCATAGAGGATCAAAAGATGAGAAGTAAAAATTATCTGCCTTAATCTTTCTAACCCTCTCCCATTTCATCCCCTTCTACTGTATATCCCTAAGGCTCTGGTTCCAGTGATGTGTGTGTGAGTGGAAACTCTGGTGAACCACCCTTTGGCACTTTAGAAGTTCCGTTTCCCATTCTTTCTGATTGTACATGATGAGGGAAGGAGCTCTTGACCTCACACAGCTAGAAGTGTTCTAAGTGGGGAGTATATGTAAGCATCCATTCTGGGTGGGGCTTTACAAAAATTCCAAAGAGATACTTTGTTATGGAACATCAATACATTTAATTACGTAGAAAGGATAGAATATGATGCCTAATCCTGCATTTAGATACTAGATAGATACTAAGCATTATCTATCATTATAGCCATTATTATTATAAAATATGTATTAATTTATCTGATTAAAAAGCAATGGCTAAAGATAAACACTCAAATGTGCTATTTTAAATGTTCTCTAAAAGTACACTCTGGGTATAAAATGTTTCCTTACCACATTTAGGAGGTAATTCACTCCAAACTATATAAGGGTAATGGGAACAGTATGTCTCTAGCAAATGGTTATTTGGCAACCAAACAAATGTGACATTAGATTATGGGGCTGGAATAAATCCATGTATCTTCTCTGATTTTAAATAGAAGGAAGTTATATAAAAAGATAACTCTAAATATGATTTTTTGCATAACTTGAATAAGGCAAAATCACTTCATATAACTAACTGGTAGAAGTAGAGAAATTATTTTTATTAATACTTACATAGAGAATCAATATGTGTATCTGGAGTTTTTAGTTTCTACGCCTCACCTGTTTTTCAAGAACAGACCACCACCAAATATCCAAAGTGAACTTGCTTACCTATAAGTCTTTAAGGACTGTATTTTGTTAGGTTGCAGGCAATTTTCAAATTCAAGTAGGAATGACAGAAGCACAAGCCAGCGAGACTGTGCTTCTCAAATGGAATAACACATCAAAATCTGTTCCTTTCTAAAGGTTTTAAACAAATATAGAAGTTCAGGGATTTTAAAGGCAATCTACTATATTTATCATCCAATCCATTCTTTGGACTATGCTGTTATAAACTGATTCTTATATTGGATCTAAATATATATCCCTCTTCCTCCTACTCCAACCTTTTTATCTTAGCCATACCTTTTAGAATAAAAAATTATCATCACAGAACTTGGTTGATTTTGTTCACTGCTGTATTCACAGAGCTTAAAACCTAGCACATGACAGCACTCAATCTTTTAAAAATGAACAATAGCTACCATTTATTGTAGGCTTACTGTTAGGCAGTATGCAAAAAATTTTTTACAATTTTAAAATCCTGACAATAAATATGAGGTTTATTATCGTCATTTTCAACATAAGACGACTGGATTTACAGAGCCTCAGTAACCTGTCCAAGATCACAGAGCTATAAATGCAGAACCAGAAGTCAAACCCAGGTTTGATTCCATAGCCCCCATCCTTAGCCACAGCATTTGCCCTTTTCCTATTCAACAACCTTTCCAAACAGGTATTCTTAAATAACCAGATACTTCACCAAGAGACTGTTTTTTTCGTGTTTGTTTTTTTTTAAAGCAGACCTCCATATAATGTCTAAATATGTCTAATATGGCAGGCACTCAATAAATATCTGCTGAATGAATGAATATGCAATAGCAACAAATATTCCAAGTGGTGTCAGAAATACCTGTAGAGTTTGGAAATGAAGACAATACATAAAAGTTTCTTAGCAGCTATAGTAACTTCTTGACTACTTGAAGTCCTTTTTACTCAGCCTTTGATAATTATGCTAAAAGAGATGGGAAACTGCGGGTTTAATTTCAAGGCGTCAGAGGTCAAGAGTGACATGATCAGATTCACACTGTGACAAGACCATTATGACTACATAATGAAGGAGGGGAGGAGAGGAAGAGCAGATGCAGAGATCAGTGATGACGTGATACTGAGAAAAACTTGGATCATCTTAGGGATGCTAGTAAAGCGGGTAAGAGTAAGAGGTATTTGGGAGGAAAAATAATTGGTAATTGGGAGGTGGGGGTGGAGTATAAGGAAAATGTCAAATGTTAAGTCCTAGATTTCCAGCTTTGCACGGACTGACAAGATAATATAGGTTACTGGAGGGGGACCAAGTTTAGGAGGGAATAAACACAAATTTGAACTCAAACATGAGACATCCAATGGAAATGTTGAAAAGGCAGTTGGATAGCCAGATGCTGGAAACAAATATGGCAGGTCAGAGGGCTAGATGAGAGGTGCACTTTTGGAGTCAAGTGTGTAACAGTAACCAGAATCCTGGAACGATGCTCCTGGATCTTTATCAGGTAGACACAAAGGTCTACCAGCACTTAACCAACCCACTGGTTTATAGTTAAGACAACAAGCAAGGAACACAGGAAAGAGGGGTGGCAGGTAGGCGGGAGGAATAAAGAGCACCCAGTGTTCATTCTCTCCCCAGGAAATCCTCTGGCCCTCTTGTTTTCCCTCTCCCTGAGATCTAATATCTTAAGGTAGGGTCTGAAAATTGGAGGTAGGGGAGAAGGGCGGTACAGGGAGCAGGATATAGAAATAATAGGGAAGTTACGCAGAAAAAAAGCCGGGTTACGTGACATAACTCTCAAAGGATCAGAGATTTTTTAAAAATATATTTTATTGATTTTTCACAGAGAGGAAGGGAGTGGGACAGAGAGTCAGAAACATCGATGAGAGAGAAACATCGATCAGCTGCCTCCTGCACACCCCCCACTAGGGATGTGCCCGCAACCACGGTACATGCCCTTGACCAGAATCGAACCTGGGACCTTTCATTTCGCAGGCCGACGCTCTATCCACTGAGCCAAACCAGTTAGGGAAGAATCAGAGATTTTATAAGCTAGGGAAAAAAAATGAGGGAGGCAAAAAGGACACCAACTCCATTCACATTCAGATCCTAAGAACTGTGGAGTCAGAAATAACTGACTCCATTTGAGAGGATAGTAGAGAAGCAATGTCCTTTGGGAAGAGGTAAGTTTCACTTAGGTCATGGAGGTACAAGAAATGTTCAGAGGACATCATATATGTTATATATAACAAATAATATATATTATTTATCTATATTATAAGTTATCAATAGAAGCCATCAGAGGCAATATCCTCATCTTCCTGCTAGGACACTGAATCTTTAAACATTATTCTTTCCTATTTCTTATGCAATTCATAGCTTGATAATGGTATACATAATTTTTATTAGTTATTTAATATAGAGTTTTAAAAATATTATTCATGCTGTTTCTTTCCAAACTAATTACTTTAAAATTTATGAATTAAGAATACATTCAGGACAATGACTTATTCATGTTTATAGAACCAAAAACATTTTTCATGATCTTTTGTACAATTAAACAATGACAGCCAATTTGTCTAAATAAAGGACCTAGCCCTAACCATTTCTGGCTCAGTGGACAGAGCGTTGGCCTGCGGACTGAAGGGTCCCAGGTTTGATTCCGGTCAAGGACGTGTACCTTGGTTGCGGGCACATCCACAGTAGGGGGTGTGCAGAAGGCAGCTGATGGATGTTTCTCTCTCATGGATGTTTCTAACTCTCTATTCCTCTCCCTTCCTCTCTGTAAAAAAAAAATCAATAAAATATATATTTAAAAAAGAAAGAAAGAAAGAAAAGGCACATTATTAAAAATAAATAAATAAATAAATAAAGGACCGAAACAGAATGGCTGAATTGTATGAACAGTATATAGATCATTAGTGTATAAATTAAATAAAAAGACCATAGTATGTCAATGACAAAAAGAACTATCTGCCATTCTTGTTACTTTTATTTAAAGGAAAGTAGAGATAGGATAGCTATAAAAAAATTCTACTCTAAGAGGCCTGTAATTGAAAAGATTTATGGGTTATATTTGAGCCCAGAGAGAAACAAAGACGATGAAAGACATTTCTAACCTGGAAAAGTAGGCATGCCAATTTTATAACATAGTAACTTCGGGTGTATGCATACAAGCACTACAACCCTGTTCACTGAGAGACACGTATTTGAGAGAATGAGTGTGGGAACCTAACACATAGGGAAGGAAAAGCGTGCCACTCTGTCTTAGAAAGCTATCTGCCTCAAGGCTAACGTTACTACCAACCACTCCTTACTATAAATCCTTTCCTCTTTCCTCCGTAGCATCACAAATTTCTCTTGGCTCTTCTCTCTGACTGCCTGACTGCTGTATCCCAATCTTCCAGTGGCTTTCTCTTCTTTCACTCATCCCCTAAGTGTTGTCGATGCCTTCTCACTCCACACATCCCCCAGTTTATTCCATCCATTCTTTTGGCTTCAACTACCATCCATTTCCTGATGACTCCAAAATCTACATTTCTGTTTCAAATCTTTCCCATGAGGCCCTGGTCCATTTAATAAACTATTACCACATATTTCTCCCCAAATATTTCAAATTCAATAAGCCTAAAACTGAACTATTTTCCCTTCCAAATCTGCAATATTATCATTTTCAGTAGTATTATTCAATTACTGAAATCAGAAATTTGGGACACATCCTAGACTCTATTCTTCTTTACACCCTAACTTTTAATCAATCACAAGTTCAGAGAAGGCATAAATCTTTAATTACAAACTACTCACAAATACAAACATGAATAAATTCTTTTGTGCTGTTAGGAAACTATGAAATACAGTGAAAAATGTAATTTACTAAAGTGGTGGTTAAAAGAGTAAGCTCAATCTGGTTTTGGAATTGATAAAAACTATTTTTATTACCTTTCCCAGTTGTAGAGGTTAATATTTATCTGGATTGCTTGGTAAACAAGGCCAGCCTGAAGAAGTAGTATTTCAGCTTCCTGTATATTCCCACTAAACATTAATATGTGGGCCATTTTTGATTCTTTAGATGGAAGATCTTTTATAGAATTGATGTATTGAACTTTATCAATCTAATAAAAGAAAATATATTTGAATTGGATAATAACAGAAATATAACAAATTATGGCAAAACACACACACATATATGCACATAAGTCAGCAGTTCTCAACCTGTGGGTCACCAACGTGTGGGTCGCAACCCCTTTGGGGGTCGAACGACCCTTTCACAGGGGTCGCCTAAGACCATCGGAAAACACATATATAATTACAGTGGTTCTCAACCTTCCTAATGCTGCTACCCTTTAATATAGTTCCTCATGTTGTGGAGACCCCCAACCATAAAATTATTTTTGTTGCTACTTCGTAACTGTAATTTTGCTACTGTTATGAATCGTAATGTAAATATCTGGTATGTAGGATGTATTTTCATTGTTACAAATTGAACATAATTAAAGCATAGTGATTAATCACAAAAACAATATGTAATTATATATGTGTTTTTCGATGGTCTTAGGCGACCCCTGTGAAAGGGTTGTTGGATCCCCAAAGGGGTCGCGACCCACAGGTTGGCGACCCACAGGTTGAGAACCACTGACATAAGTGAACATTATTTACCTCACCAATCGCTGCGTAGGCTATTTCTGCAGTTGTCATATCTTGATTAGCAACTGCCATAGCAGCTAGGCAAGCCCACATGGTTTGTTCCTAAAATGAAATATGAGAATAATTATCTCAATTACATGGCTGAATTTTAAAAATAAACAGTGATTTAAAATATAACAAAATTATATTTTAATTGAAAATAAAAAAAATACTGAGCCTGGCACTGAAAGAACGAATAATTCAATAACTTAATGATGTAGAAATTTCACTGTGGCTATTTTGTTAAAATGCATTAATAACACATAGAGAACTACTTTTAAATAAATGTTTTAAATTTTCTGAGTATCAGAGATTCCATTTGAACTCACAATATACTTTTAAGATAACTTAACAACCCTCCAGTCTTTTGGATAAGATGTTAAAGAATACAACATACAGGGAACCTGAGGAATGGGGAGGTACTTGGATAATGCTATTATAGCAGATTGCCACCAACAACCCCTTTTAAGAAAAACATCAAAAAGTCACTCCATTAAAGTGGATTCTAAGGAATGTTAAACTATATTCAACAAAAGAGTTCTGTGGTCAAACACATTTGGAAAATCCTGATTCAACCAGGTTGGGAAATGCTGATCTAAGGCAGATTCTTAACCTTAGCTGCACGAATCATCTGAGGAACTTAAAAACTATGCCCAGGCCTCTCCCCAGATTTAAGAAATTAGAAACTCTGTGGGGGTAGAAGTTGGGAACCTGACTTTAGAAAAGTTCCACAGAAGACCTTTTATATGTATCAATGTTAAGATGCTACCCATTTAAATGACGGCTTCCTCAGAGAATAAATCACAAAGCACCCACCCTCTGGATCACTCATATCTTCACTTATAAAAAGAGACATGATCCTGATTGCGTATTTCCACAGCCCTTAACTGTTGTCATTTCTCATCTTGGACAAAGACATTGTGTAAACTAATGCACAATATACACACAACTATGGGTCTGAAATGTCAGTACCTTGACAAAGCGACAGAGTCTTATAGCATCTTCCCATTTGGAACTGTTGACATATTCATGGAGAATAGCAGGATATGGTGGTATGCTCATGTGAACCAGTGAGCCATCGGCTCTTCTTATAGTTACCTGATTTCCCACAAAACTCACAATATGGGGATTTTTACTAAATTCACTGTAGAAAAAAAAAGCAAAGTGCAATTTATATTCTGAGCAAATTTTTCATATATATTAAATTTGGAGAGTTAATCCCGGACATATATATAAAGTATCCAACTTTCAAAACACATCCAAAAAAGTTAATTCCATGGAGAATGTATATATTCAAATAAACATCTGAATCTAACTTTTTATTTATACTTGGAGCAAAATATGCTATTTAACGTGGCAAATCTATTATATATGTGAGAACTATTCCTAAAAGCATTTCAAATGACTTTTCCCCTCAGTCCTAAGGTAAATCAGACAAATGATTAAATGACTTTACTTGAACTTTTAAAGTATTAAAGTGTAAACCATTAAAAATTAAGCTGATTTCAAGAATATTTCTTCACCATAAGAAGAGGTCAACTTTAAGAGACTAACTTCTCTTTTTTTTTCTTTAATGATAACTTCTCTTTATTCATTTGAAAACTTTTAAAATGATGCCTGTCCAGTTTTGTTAAGGTTATAAATTTAAAAATTAAAAGTGAACTCCAAATAGGTTTTCAAGTTAAGGTTTAGAGTTGAAAAGCCTTTGTATTCCTATTTTATTAAGAGTGAGAGATGCCCTTACTATTTCTTTTTTTTCCTTTTCTTTGTTAATCCTCACTAGAGGATATATTTCCATTGATTTTTAGAGAGATTGGAAGGGGGGGGGGGGACAGGGAGAGAGAAACATCAATGTGAGAGAGATACATCGATTGGTTGCCTCCCACAGGAGCCCTGACCAGGGCCGGAGATCGAGCCTGCAACTGAGGTACATGCCCTTGACCAGAATCAAACTGGAACCCTTTAGTCCACGGGCTGACACTCTATCCACTGAACCAAACCAGCTAGGACTCCCCTTGCTATTTCTTAGAGAATTTAGAACTATAAATGTATTTGATTTTCTGAAGCATATAAAATTTAAAAAACTTTTCAGTAATTTTACATATTTTTCTATAATATTAAAATATTAATTTAAAAATTGCCATAACCAGTTTGGCTCAGTGGATAGAGCGTCGGCCTGCGGACTGAAAGGTCCCAGGTTCGATTCTGGTCAAGGGCATGTACCTTGGTTGCGGGCACATCCCCAGTGGGGGGTGTGCAGGAGGCAGCTGATCGATGTTTCTCTCTCATCGATGTTTCTGACTCTCTATCCCTCTCCCTTCCTCTCTGTGAAAAATCAATAAAATATATTTTTTAAAAAATATTAATTTAAAAATTAAATTGTAGATTGAATTCACTTTTAGAACACATACATTCCTGAAAGGCTTAAAGTCAATGACAATCTGGGCGAGAGTAAAGGTTGTCACAAGGTTGTGTACCACTGAAAAATCTTCAGAGTGGCTATATTAAAATCACATTGAAAAAAACTACTTGAGTTACCATTAAACAACATTAAGCTTTAAAATTATACTCATACAATGGAAATTATATTCACATAAGAAACCAGTAAATAAGTAGTTTTATAAAACATTTTCAACTTGGTTCCATCAATTAAGTCTCACTAAGCTAGCTTTAGCTTAACAAAGTATTCAGTTGACTGAGTAAAGTGAAAGATATTTGCAGGATTAAAATTAGAGGCAAAGACATGACACTCTATTAGTTTTATTTACATAATAAATAATTCTGTGCAGTAAAATGTTACCTGGCATCCCTTTCATATAATGTTTTGGGCAAAATGTCTTTGTCCACATAAACTGTATTGGGGTAATACCACACTGTAAATCGAGTATCTTGAAGTCCACAAAGGATATTGCATGTGTCACTCCACGCCAAAGTATGCACCATTGTTCCTTATTGTAAAAAGAATGTTAATGTACTGTTAGTTCCACTATATAATAAGTATTAAAAATATATCTTTAAAATATATCTTGACATACAAGACCCTATCTAATTTCTGGTAGGTCTGACTATTTTCTGATCACATAATGGTGAAAACATGTACAAAAATTCACATAAGAATTGATGGAAATATTTGAATATCCTATCCAGAACCATTATATTTTTAATTTGCAAGTCTTTCTTCAATGCCAACTTAGCTGTGGCAGCTAAAGACCTGCTATTAAAATGGAACTAATAGCTAATAAATGTTATGAGATCAAAGCATTCATAGATTCATTCAAGCAAATAAGCTATTTAGTATAATATCTGACAGAGTAGATCTAAGAAAATTGGAAAGTAATTACAATTCTAAATTATTACAATAATTTTACCAAGTTTGATAATTTGTTCTTCCTTCCCAAATCGTTTCACTGAGGTGATATAGAGATCTCTATTTTTATCAATAAAAGCAATTTTTCTGTCATTCGTAAGTCCTTTTTGATCCAGAGCAATTTCCAAAATTTCATTCTAAAATTAAAAAAAATACTGGATTAGTTTTAGTGCTTAACCATCAGATCATTTTAATTATTAAAGAACATTTGTTTACTTAAAGATCTATTAAATATCACTCCCTCACTTATAGTGATAAACTGTCCCTGTTAAATAATTTTAAACTGCTAATACGCTAATAATTCAAAAGCTATACTAACTAACATGTATTTTGTGGGGGTTTTTGGCCAGGGAAAGATGCCCCTTAAAACACTAAAATAATGTATATTTTGAAACAGTAAGCTAAAAAATACTTCCATCTGAGTAGTCAGGGTGAAAGGATAAGGCAAGTCTGGGCATCACATGAGAGATTTGATTAAGCTCCTCACACCACAATTTACTCTAAGTAGATTGCCTATATTTTAAAGATTTGTAAGGACTGATTTATGGAAATATCTTATGTTTTTAAAGCCTTATATTTTATAGATTCTTTCACATTCATTTCTTGTGAAACAGAAAATAATCTTCTGATGTAGATATTATACTTATATTGCAGATGAGAAGACAGAGATCCATGGCCATTAAGTGAGTTTGCTCAGAAAAAGCTGGTAAGAAGCATATCTAGGATTTATAATCCAGACTTCTGACTGCACAATTAGTGATCTGTGTACAATAACAAAGTATTTCTCACATATTGCAGTAATCTATTACATTATTATACTAGCTAGTGAAATGCATTTTCTCATCATTTGAAAATGGTTCTGTATGGATTGATTTCAATTTAATTCAAGGGGTATTTGTTTACTGTGTACTATGTCTGAAGACTTGCTGGGATCTGTGAATTCAGCAAGAATCCTGATTGCACCAAATAATTGTATCTACGTATACTATCATAACATCTTTAAAAGCCAGCAATTCAAGAATTTCTCCCAGAATACACTAAAACTTGTGCAAGAAGGTATTTGCAAGGTAAGTCATCTTGGCAATATTGTAACAGCAAAAGACTGGAAACAAATGTCCATCACTTGGATACAGGTTAAAGAAATTCTGATACATCCATAAAATGTTATATGTATGGTGAGATGGGGGAAGATTTGGGAAAGTACTTCATATGATGATATGGAAAGTTCTCCAGAAATAGTGTGTGAGAAAAGGTGCAGAGTTGTATTTTACGGTTTTGTAAAAGAGTGGAAAAAGGACATATCAGTTCTGTTTGTGTTTGCATTAAAAATCTCTGGAAGGATATGTAAGAGATTAATAAAGTGGTTACTTATTTGGTAGAAAACCTATTGATGAGGAACAGGTGGAGGCAGACATTTTCACTGTATACTTTTTTACGATTTTTTAATTTCTGAATCATACAAATATATGTTATTCAAATTGAAAATAAATACTAAAGGAAATAAACGGTGGCTATTTACATTAGAAATAGCTAATGTCCATTACCGTATGAGAGAGAATCTTTCCATCACCTAATGGTTTTCCAGTTGATGCCTCAAAGAGGAAGATAACTTGAAAAAAAAAGTAGAACATTAGTTAATGTATTACATTAAAAATTTTTATTGGTAAACTTCAATGGAATTATATAGTCCTCATGAGAAATTATTTAACTCGGCGGCCCATTGAGTATCTATCAGCACAGAAGAGCAGCAGCATCAAATGTCTACTTATTAAAGGGGTCATATTTCTTCTGAAAACAGTGGAACTGGATACTTCCTAAAACATACATTCCCTAATTAGAGTGGTTATTAATGGCATGGCTTCAATGCTGCATAGGATCAACAATGGCAAGTCCAAGTCTGAATGTAATCTCTAATTTTGATAACTGATTTAGACCCAGTATAACATCACAGACAATCATTACTTCACAAAGGAAAATTGTGTCAAGTGCCTACTATACTACTAGGCAATGTGTTACATACTGTTCAGTTCCCTGTGGCCAGCATACCACTATGGTATAATTTGTTGGGTGTTTGTCCTGGGTCCCTGGCAGAGAACTTGAACCCTTGCCATCTCCTGAGGGATAGGAGTGTCCTTGTTTGCTAACAGGGATTCTCTGCGTGGAGCAGAGGCTGTCTCTATCCCTCTCCCTTTCTCTCTGTAAAAAATCAATAAAATATATTTTTAAAAAAAAAAAAAAAAGACTGTTGGGGCGAGGGTGGGAAGATTGTTGGAATGTTTCTGTGATTCTCTTTAAGTAATTCCAGAATTATTTCAGCCCAAGATTCAACCCAACTGGAGTCATTTTATGTAACTGAACATGCACATAGGATTACAGAATGAAAAGACAGAAATGGTACAAACAGTCAGAAAAAAAACTGGGTAATTTATAAAGATAATAAAAATGCTAAAATATGTATAATGTGATATTAAATCCTAGAGGAGCACACTTTTACTATATTTATTTTAGTTTTTAGTAAACCTTAAGATATTAAGTTTGAGGTCACTGGTTATATTCACAGAGGAATCATGTCATAACAGTAAGTTATGTTCTAAGACTGCCAATTATGCTGAGAGAGATGAAAAAGAAAAATATATAACAGAATTTTGAATTAAATATAGAAATATAATTAGAAAATTTTGGCTTCCATTTTTAAAATATGATTTGGGCTTGGTAAACCCAGTTATTTTCATAACTATACAAACTAATAATTTTTTAAAAAGCCTTCCATCCTATGCTGACTGCGCATATTAGAAAGAGCTGGAGGTAAAGGATGAACTCATCTACTTTTCCACATCTCTAAGTGGCCCTGATCTATGGGAGGCTGGACCTGTGTTTTGGTGATAACATGTAACAGAAACTGGGAGCTGAAAGAGTTGCTTCTAAACATAAGTACTGTAACTGCTCTCTAACTTTCACGCTCCTCATACCCAGATTATTTGTTTCAAATAATCACCAACACTAATATCCTATTGTATCTGTGCAAGACAGAAGTCAAAAGCAGTACCTATCTATTACTTAACCAGTCACCCACAGGGGTATATTCAAATCCATTATCATGTATTCATTGAGCACCTACCATGATATAGAGTACTGTGCTTGGTTCAAGAATCATGCCTATAAAGGACCTCCCAAATTAGAAAGGAACCACTGATTTTATTTGTGGATGGCCCCGTTGAAAGGAAATTTTTTAAATTCCAGGGTAAAGATTTAGGTACTTCAATTGGGTTTTCCATTGTTAACATATACCTCTATTTAGCCATTAATGATCACTAGTTTCTTTAAAAGGGAACATAAGGAAAATATTTTCCTTCTCATTTTATATCAGTTCTACAATAATTTTAATCTTTTTGATTTTCTATTTACAGCAAAATGAAGTTACATGATTATCTTACTCAATAATCAAAATGTATGTAAATAAAACAAAGTTTATTGGCATATAAATCTGTTTCTGAAAATATTCATAATTCTTTCTAACTGTAAAATTCTATGAACTATCAAAGGACTAAAGAATAATGAAATGTTTCACATATAAGTTATATTCAGTTGGTATATTCAGTTGGAAATATACATATATATTAAAGCTCCTACCTACACTATGTGGTGTTCAATAAGAAAAGTATAAATTACTCATAGTGATGACTGAGATTTTCAAATCTATGTTTATTGAAAGCAAAAATCTGACTTCCTAATTATAATTAACAGTTACACAGCCATCTTAAATCTGTCTGCTATCTAGAAATGATTTCCTTTCCTTTTCTCCCTTTTTACCTAGAAAGGAAGTCCTTAAAAACAAAACAATTACCAAATGTTTTACCGAACTATGCAATTACAAAACACCTGACATATGTATTTTTAAGTATGTGGTCTAGATTTTTATATGAAAAATTAAAATTATTCATGATTTTGTTCTACTTCACCAATTTAAAATATTGATTTTTAAAAATGTAAGCAAAATAGATAGTACAATGAAGCACAATATTTACTATGTTACCAAAAGAAAAAGAAATATTTAAAAAGATCAATAAACTTAAAAATTAACAAACCTTTTTCAGACTCACAATCTTGAATTCAATCTCTACCAACAGCTACCGAATATATAAAGATTTATTCCTTACCACTGAGTTTTGTTATTGTAACAATATCTATTTGTTAAATAAAGTATGACAACTTTATATATAGTTCAGTTCTTTCATTAATTCATGACTAGGACAAATTAGAAAGTTCATATTTCTTTCATAGAAAGTTACATATCAATAGATAAGAAAATGAAAGTTAATGTGTGAAAATTTTATAGTGTTAACAAATTTCACGGATATTTGACATAGGAGATTATAAAAATGTACTCACTTTTTTCATCGGCTTTGTCTTTTATTGCTATGGTATCATTACTCAGAGATACAGTCTGTGCATTCAGAATATCTGTTCTCATTCCAGGAAATTTTGGAGAAGAAATGAAGCGCCCTTCATAAGAATATAAATAGATACCACCACCATCTACAAGAAGAAAATGTCTAAAAAATAAAGAATTAAAAAATATTCTCAAATAGGAGTATACTATCCTATATAATAAAACCTTAATATGCAAAGCGACCAAACGACGGAATGACCGGTCACTATGACGCGCACTGACCACCAGGGGGCAGACGCTCAATGCAGGAGCTGCCCCCTGATGGTCAGTGTGCTCCCATAGGGGAGCACCACTCAGCCAGAAGCCGGGCTCACAGCTGGTGAGCGCAGCAGCAGTGATGGGAGCCTCTCCCACCTCTGCAGCAGCACTAAGGACCTCCCAGGGGATGTCCACCTGCTGGCTTAGGCCCGCTCCCTGTGGGCAGGCAGACATCCCCCAAGGGGTCCTGGACTGCAAAAGGGCGCAGGCCAGGCTGACAAACACCCCCTGCTTCCCAGTGCACGATGTTGTGCACCAGGCCTCTAGTATTTTTATAAGTAATAAAAGCATAATATGCTAATTAGAACAGACAGTTGAATGACCTTTTGGACTTCCTTCTGTACGAAGCCGCGGGGGCCGAGGCAGAGGCAGTTAGGGGCGATCAGGCAGGCAGGCGAGTGGTTAGGGGCAATCAGGCAGAGTGGTTAGGGGTGACCAGGCAGGCAGGCGAGTGGTTAGGGGTGACCAGGCAGGCAGGCGAGTGGTTAGGGGTGACCAGGCAGGCAGGTGAGTGGTTAGGAGCCAGCAGTCCCAGATTGTGAGAGGGATGTCCCAGATTGCGAGAGGGTGCAGGCCAGGTGCCTCTAGTATTTTTATATTAGACAATAGTTTATCCTTTGGAAAAACCTAAACCTTACAATTAAAATAAGTACATAGGTATAAACAAAATGAAATATACAAACAACCTGCAAAGTCAACACTGGTTGTTTTGTTTCCAGGTTCTTGTTTTTTAATGGAGGTAGGAGAAGTAAAATGAAAATGCTCATAAACACTACCCTATTTTGACCCCTTTTACATTATACTTGCAATTCCTTTCCTTTCCTAAAGAAGCATCTCTATACAAAGGCAATAAGAAAATCTCACAATTTACATTCAGTGATTTTAATGCCTGATACTAGTTGTATCATGAAACAGCATTAAACAGATTTCACAATTAAACAGATTTCACAATTAATGATTATGTTAAAGACAAAGATTAAATATCGGTTAAAGTCCAAAACAGTAGAAATGACTCAAAAATTAACATTAGGGCCTGGCCGGTGTTGCTCAGTGGTTGAGCGCTGATCCAGGAACCAGGAGGTTGCTGGTTCGATTCCCAGTCAGGGCACATGTCTGGCTTGCAGGCTCAATCCCCAGTAGGGGTGCATGCAGCAGGCAGTCAATCAATGATGTTCCTCTCTCATCGATGTTTTTATCTCTCTATCCCTCTCCCTTCCTCTCTCTTTAAAAATGAATAAAAACATAATTTAAAAAATTAACATTAGGGCCAGCATTTATTAAAATTAAATGCTTTGACTTTAAAATAGTATAATGACCATTGGTAAATTTATTCATATCTAAAAGAACACATTTTTAAATAGCAGGGACTAGGGTTCATTTGCTGTGTTGATAATTATATTCAAGGTATAAGGGTTCTGTGTAGTTAATTTTTTATTAAGTCAAAATGTAAATATTTTATGGCTGCTATTTTTTTCTTTGATATAAACATTGCAAAAAAAAAAAAACCACCATAACACACACCAATTCAAACAATACGGAGAAATCAAAAGATCTCTTGCAATCATATCTCCAGAAAGATAACTTATAGCAAATAAAGTATGGATATACCATAACTTTACTTAGTTAACTCATTCCTAATGGACGTTTATTTCAAATTATTTACTGTTTTAAAGAATGTCTAGATTCTATACACATCCCTGTACATCTACCTTACTAATTTCCTTGCTACAGCTTCTAGAAATGCAATTATTGGATCAAAGGTCTTATACTGTTAAAATTTTAATATATATTGTTAAACGGCCCTTTGAAAGGTTGCATTGATTTACACTCCTACTACTGCTATATTGGAGTGTCTATTTCTTCAATATTGAACACATTATTACTTTTTAAAATCTTATGTTCAAGGTTTTAATATCCTTGATTCAGAACTATTTCTTGACTTGGGAATTGCTAATTATTCTTTCTTGCTATGGAAACAAATAGGAAATAAACACAAAAACAATTAAAAGTTAGTATATAATAAAGCCCGAATATATACACTTTAATTAAATTAATACTTGATTATTAGTGTGTACTTTATTTAATTAAAGGTTTGACTTTTACACATTAGTGCATATTTGCTAATGTTGACAAAGTGACCTATTGTATTAGTATACATTCTTTCTTAGTCTCAGAACTAAAAGCATTTTCTCGCCCTGGCCAGGTTGGCTGACTTGTCTGGAGCATCGTCCAGTACACTAAAAGGTTGTGGGTTGAATCCCCAGTTGGACGGGGCACTTACCAGAGGCAACTGATCAATGTTTATCACACTGATGTTTCTCTCTCTTTCTCTCTCTCTCTCTCTCTCTCTCTCTCCTTTCCTCTCTCTCTAAAAACCAATTAAAAAACCCACATATCCTCGGGTGAAGATTTAAATAAATAAATAAACAAATAAATAAAAGCATTTTCTCTTCTTTTAATCTCCTTGCGAGTAAACAGTTTCAAGGGGCAAACATATCTAAATGTACAAATAAGACCAGCAATTCTTTAATTACCTAATAATTGATTCCATTGATATATGCATTTATTAAGAGCATATTTAAAAATTACATATTTATAAATAATGTATAAATAAATTTATTTGAAATTGTTTGAGTAAAAAAATGTCAGAAATGTTTTTTGGACAACATCTTACCTTTAAGTAGCAAAGATGTCTTTTTATTTTTAAAATTTATGATATAACTAAATAAATAAATCATATATTCAATTTCATTAAACAGATGATACAAAACTTGACACAATTATTTTCTTGATCAATCAAGGTCATCAATATGATGATCATACTCTTCAGTAACTAGTTAACTGACAGCTTTGACTCATGAGAATCTGTTGGTGCATCAAAATAATGATGCCGCTTAGCTCCACAGTTCTGTGCTTTAAGTTTTCTCTATGCTCCCTTGCCAGCCAGTCACTTTTCTTTCTGTCACTGTGCCAACCTCTAACAGCCCACCAGCACCATTCCTCTTCTGATTTGCTATTTATAAAATGCTGTGGGCTAGAAAACCTGATAATAAACACTATTAAGAGCTGCTTAGGTAGTGAGTAAAGGGATAAAGAATAAAATACAAGGTTTTGTGCAAATATTTTCATAGCTAGCTATTTTAGGTAATTGTCTATTACATTTTCATACTTTATTCCAGGTTTTATTGGGTTGTAGTTTTCTAAGTTTGACTTGTGATTCAGCAGGGTATCAATGTACTTGAAAGACTGATAGTTTTCATGGATAAGTGTAGATTCCTGAGTTACTCCAGTTATTTGGTCTGGAGTTTCTTTGTCCTATATACACTGAGAGTGTTGGCAGAGGATATCATTTTTTAAACTTCAGGTCACAGCCAAGTAGTGGCTTATAAAATTAATGAGTTTCAACCAATATTTAAAAACAAAAACAGAGCCCTAGCCGGTTTGGCTCAGGGGATAAAGTGTCTGCCTGTGGATTGAAGGGTCCTGGGTTCGATTCCAGTCAAGGGCACAAGCCTGGGTTGCAGGCTTGATCCCCAGTAGGGGGCATGCAGGAGGCAGCTGATTAATGATTGATCTCTCATCATTGATGTCTCTATCTCTCTCTCACTCTCCCTTCCTCTCTGAAATTAATAAAAATATACTTAAAAAATAAAAAATAAAAACAATAGAAAATAGAGGGACCTTGAGGTCAAAACTATTTCATAATAATTTGCCCGGTTCACTCTCATTTTCTCATGTCATTAATCTGATATTTACTTCCGAGTTTATTCTCATAATTTAAAATTAATAACTTTTAAATCTCAATTTTAATTTCTAATACTATAGTAAATGGTAATATCTATAACCCTCATATAACCCTCCATATCATTTTATGAATGTAAGCAAATTTGAAGACCAAAAAGTTTCAGAACCATTGATCTAAGACCTTATTCTCTTACTCTTAAAAAAATAAATAGTAGAAACAGATTGATACCTAATGACTAATATGACATTCTTAAATGGCATGCTTTAACGAGTGCTTTGCTGTGATTTGAAATATTTTAACCCAAAATTCAGTAGTCAAAGATGATAAATTACCTTTCTGCTTGCAGAATTAAACTAACAGTTCCTTCTTTGAGATCAAATATAAGTGGTGTATTCCAGTTCTTTGTACTGAAAGACAAATAAAATAGAAATTTATTAACATTTAAAACACGGAACACTTTTTAATAAGGAGATAGGTATTCATTTTAAGTGTTTTTAGTTTCACAGTAACTTTGTATATATTTCTATTACAGCGGTTGGCACACTGTTCTGAAATTATTCACTTAATTTTTGTATCCCTCAACAGAACACAGAGACTCTGTCCCTAAACCTAGCACACAGGAAGCATTTAATAAAAGTTAATTGTAGGAATCACAATAAATGAATTGAGGAATCCTAAGTGTAAGTCCAAGTAAAATCTATTAGCTCTGTGATTCGGGCAACTCGTCTAATGTTTCTCATCTGAAAAACAGTAGCAGCATGGCATAGTGTAAAGGGGATGGGTTTTTGCCTAAATGGATCAAGATTAGAAATCTGGTTTCACCACCTGTCAGCCATATGAGTTTAAGAAGCTTAATCCTCTAAGCATCAGTTTCCTTATATGTAAAATGAAGATAATGACAACTTACCCAAGTATTTAGCTAACTGCCTCTTATATAGCAGATACTGAACAAACATTTATAATACGTAACAAGAACATGATAAACATGATTTATTTCTCATACAGGTCTCCCAAACAGATGTTTGTGAAGCATTCTGTAAACTGTAAAATATTATATAAATACTTATTAAATAAATGGATACATAAGTGAACAAATAACTCCTTTGGTTTTTATAGTGTAATATGATTCAACGATAGGGATGAGCGGACAGAACATTTAGAGCCTGTAAAACCTATCTCCAAGTAATCGGTTGCTTCACAGTTTAAAATGTTTTATTACTCTTATATATTCTGAATCTCTCTCAATTACTTTCATGGAAGCAATGTTTTAAATTTCATATTCAGATCCAGAAGATGGGGGAAGGGAAGGTTGAAGTGAGTAAACACACAAATTAATCTTGGCTAATGCAGAGTCTGATACCCATATTTCAATAATTAAATGCATGTATAAAGCAAAACAATGAATAAATCTGGGGGTTGCAGATATAATAAAGATGTGCTTTTGTATTTTAGAAAAAAATATGGCATGTTTCATTCATGAAGTTATTAGAATTAACCTTCGTTCTTTGTCAAGATAACTAATAAGAACAATGATTATGTAAATTTTTTAAAAATATCCATTCACAAAATTACATGTCATGGAAATATAAACTCCCCAAACTGTAATGTTGAATGAGTGTATTCTATACAATTATTGGTGAAATCAGATGAATATTTAACATAGAGTTGCTTATATATATTTTTCTTTTTGCAGAACTTTTTTCTTTTCTAGAACTTCTCATATAAACTGTATATTGCTTGCAAGTTAGTTTTAAAAACTATATTTTATTAGTAAAAAAGGGGCAACAGTTATTAAAAACTTGGATTAAAATCCCAGCTCTTCCTTTAGTAAAAAAAAGTTAAGTAAGTGGATCTAGGGCCAGTTATTTAATTACTCTGTGTCCTTTAGTTTCTTCATCTCATAAAATGGGAATAATCTATAATAATAAAAGAGTAATATGCTAATTAGACCGGATGTCCTTCCGGAAGAAGCTGGGGCTGCAAGGGAAGCTCAGGTCCTGGGTGCCTGAGGGAAGCTGGTGCCAGCAACCGGGGAAGGAAGGCCTACTCTTGTATGAATTTTGTGCATTGGGCCTCTAGTAATAATAATAATACCCAACACACAGAGTATATTAAGTCATGAACATAAAAAATAGTATAATAGTGCCCAATAAGTAATAGTGATTACATAAAATATTAGTAGGTGTTTTCAATTTAATGAAATATGTTTTGGTGATCATAGGTGTCAGTCCTACTCATTCCCACTACTGCTACCTGGTATTTCACTTTAGTAAATATTCTGTACCTTAATAAATGTCTTGACAACAAGAGATGGGAGTCATGGTAAATCAGAAAACAAAAGAGAAGCAATCTTATATTTTGCCACATATTAACTAGTAAAAGATAGTTACTGGAGTGACAAAAAAACAAAACACAAACCTACTGAACTGTTAGTAATTATTTTAAAAAGCAACCTCTCTAATACAAGTAACACATAATGATACTAATCCTACAGATTCAAACTAATCCTTGCCACTATAAAGAGCCAACAAGTCTTACCTACTTGAGACAAAAAAAATCCTAAACTGAAGAAATATTCTCTATTTCCTCAACCCCATGAAAACTAATTATTCAAATACTTATGTCCATTGAATGATTGATATTTTCTCACACTCTATAGTACCTTCCCCATATCTCAACGGTTTAACTTGGTATCTCTCTTGACTTTTCTCAAATTCTTCCTGTTGCTCTTTCTCTTTATGAAAGAAAAACATTTTCATGTACAATTGAGCTGCTTGTTTCTTAATGCTCTCTCCTTTGCTTCTCTCATTTCATTACTCCAGACTTGGCTATTATACGAAGTTGCAGATTCTCACTTGTAGCAAATTTATACATAGTGAGTGAGAAATATTAATACACAGTTATAACAATGGTTAATTAAATTAGCAAATGTATTAGTTTGCATTATGTATTACTGGGCATGAGGATACCAAGACAACACTATTTTTCATGTTTTTCAATCCATTTATTTACTCAAAAATACTTCCTTATTTATTAAGTACCTACTACATGTCGGACACTGTGCTAGTAGGTAACTGGGCATGTAAATGTTGAATAAGACATATAATCTCTATCCTCGATTTTATATTCAATGATGATTAGACTATAACCATATAATGTTATAAGATACCTCTTCTCAATTCTGCTTTCAGACACTACACATTGATAGCTTGAAATTGGCCATAGTAGAAGTATTTACATCATAGAAATCAGCAGAAAATGCAAATCAAGGCAAAAAGTTAGTTGTTCAACATTTATTAGCACATACTGAGCTACTGTTTTAAATACCAAGTATGTTTAGGTGAAAGTCCTGGATGTGTGGAATCATTCCCTGCTTTCTAATACAAAGTATACCGAATAATATTTGCTTTCATTATTTCTGGACAACTTTGGATCATCAATATGAATGTGATTACCACAGGCTATGATGTTAAGCCTAAATAGCTCCTTGTGTCCTTAATGAATGAATATATTTCACTCTGTTGTCAGGCTGCTAGTTGTCCCCTATTCCAATGGTTAGGAAGTTCATTTTTGCATCATTTATCAGCTGCTCCTAGTCTTTCCTGTGCTTTGAAATCAAATTATACTAAATTCCTTAGAACTGTGAGGAAAGTAAGAGCAAACACTATTTCAGAGAAGTATTTTAAAAGTGAGTATTAACCTTTGATTCACAAACTTCATTAGATCTATTTTCACTGCTCTCGGCTCACTTTTTCTCACTCTTGTTTGGGATGAAGTTCAGGATAGGAACTTGATGTGAAAGATTAAAAATAAATTCCTCATCACAGACAAAACTGGATTTTTAAGAAATGCAAGATGCTTACGAGAACACATAACATTGAAGAGACGTTGAAACAACTAAGTGGGCATAGTTCAAAGATGCTTTAATGACTCTATCACGGAATTCCAGTAAATCCACTGCATCATTAAGAACGTTACGGACCTAAACAAGAAAAAATGAAATACCAACAAACAACATTAAAATACATCAAACTTTTATTAGGTAAGTTAGCAAGATTTTGAAAAACAAAAAATTCAATGCTCTCATGATTGTCCAATCATATAAAAAAGAAGAATTCAATAGTAACTAGGATAAGATGACATGTTTGGGTATAAAATCAACCAACAAAATTATAGACATAAAAAACTTCTTAGAAATAAATAGAAAAAGATATATAGAGATTCCTAACATGCAAGCCAATCTGAATGATGTAGCAATGGAGCAATAAGGTGAAAATGCTATAACATAATCAAAGGAGTGTGGCAAATAGGAGTTGGAAAGAAAGTATACAGATTGGGGCAAAAGTAGGTTTACAATTGTTCGTATGGAAAATAATACAATAATTAATAAATAATAATAGTACAAGAATAAACTCTGTGTTTTGTGTTCTTACAACTATAAACCTACTTTTGCCCCACCCTGTATAATTTCTGCCCCAAACAGTATGATTATATCTTTTTAGGGTTAGATTTTACTTTAAAATTTAAGTTCTAGCCCTAGCCGGTTTGGCTCAGTGGATGGAGTGTCGGCCTGCAAACTGAAGGGTCCCAGGTTCGATTCTGGTCAAGGGCACATGCCTGGGTTGCAGGCTCAATTCCCAGTAGGGGGCGTGCAGGAGGCAGCTGATCAATGATTCTCTCATTATTGATGTTTCTATCTCTCCCTTTCTCTCTGAAATCAATAAAAAATATTTTAAAAAATTTAAGTTCTAAAATAAGAGATATAACAATTTCAAAAGTAGAGTAGGAAGTGTTAGTGCATAGTGAAAAAACCAAGCTGCACAGAGGGGGAGAAAATATTTCCATATGTAAAAACACAGAGATAATATAAAGAAAGTTAAGCACCAACTAACAAAAGGAGATTTGCCTTTGATAGTCAAAATTGTTATGTTTGTAACAGAATAAAGTTTGCAAGAATTTTAACAGTTGGTAGTATCAGCCAAAAATCCTAAAGTTGGGGATGATTTGCCAAAAATTAGGAAAAATGTTGGGCAAGTTAAACTTATCTAATCTCTGGCCAGAATGGGTACGATATTATAGTAACATCTGAAAAATAGAGAAAAAGAGTTTAATTGTAATTAGTATTGCTTCAAATTCCCCTCAAAATGATATCATCTTTATAAATACAGTTTAATGTGACAATTACAGTATTAATGAAGAATGAAAGGGTATAGTAAAAAGATAGGAAAATAAAGTCAAACATCTTATAAGTATTTCTTTTAAGTACTTCTACCTATAAGGCATATTCTATTTTTATTAGAGGCCTGGTGCAAGGATTTGTGCACCAGTGGG